GCCGTGTCTTCCCAAGTTGCATTGGCTCCAGAGGTTCTGCTGATGTGCTCCTGCTGTCGTTCCCTGTATCTCCCGTCCAGATGGGTGACAAGATCCATGAGCAGCTGGAGAGCTCTCAGGTGATTGTAGGCTGTCAAGGCGACCTTTAGTCGGTTTGACAGGCCATGATAAAAGGTGTCTGTCAGTGCCGGCTCATTCTAATCACTGGCCGCTGCTGCGGTGTGGAAAGCTGACATAATCAACAGCTGACTGGGAGCCTTGTGACAATGACATAAGAGAAGGGGAAGTGGCAGAATCATAACATGATGGATCAAACACCCTGGTGAGTTCAGCCCCGAAACCATGAAAAGTGTTGCAACAAGCTGTTCTTGCATCCACAGGCGGCCAGAACAGCTACCCACAATGTTAATGGTGGACTCAATTATAAAGCCAGGTGAAATAGAGTAAATAATATCGCTTTTACTGCACTTACTCAGAAAATACATAGTGACAGTCCAGAAACCGTAATCCAAGTCACACAACAGACCAGGGTCAATACTGACAAAAGAACACAGCCGAGGTATCCAAAACAGGAGATCAAAGAAGCCAGTCCAGTAGTTGGTACACAAAATAAACATACAACAATCAGGTGGGCTATGCAGAAATTGGTGGTCAGGAAACAATCCAGGGTCAATAACATAAATCACTAAACAAGGATAACACTGGAAAGTCTGCATGGAGTCAAGAACAATCTGGCAGGTTACTGGTGGGAGAAGGCTGCTTATAATGGGGTGAAAATAGGTGTAGGCAATGAGCACTGATTACAATAAAGAGCCCATAACAGAGATGAACCTAGAACAGGAAGTGGCGACAAAATAAGAGCCTGAAACAGGAAGCAGTAGGGCAGAACCCTGACAAATAAAGTGGCGTAAAACCAGTCCTACAGATGAAACTGAGAACAGCTTTGAGCCCGGCTCCAAACCTCTGCCACCAGGCTCTCGCCCCGCTGTCGCTGCATAGCGCCGATCTCTCACCAGCTGTGGGCCGTGGCCTCGCTGGGCTCCTTCAGTCCATGTCTTACACAGTGGGGTGGGCTGAGTGACAGCACTCGGTTTGACAATGAACAGGCAGCTGTTGCTGATCAAGGGATTTGTCTCAATGTGGTCACAGTGCTCAGCAGTGTAGCCATGCGCTTTGGCCACAAGGGGGCTCACATACAGTCATCAGCCTTCCCAGCACTCATAGTGGTGAGGAATCTTTTAAAACATTTGTGGATCCAAATTATGATATAGATGAGCATCAAAATCTAATCAATATTTCCATGGACCGTATCCTATCTCTCCAACACATTTTAACCAAATCCATTCATTACTTTTTGAGTTACACTGTTAACACACAAACACCGGCAAAAACATAATCCCATCATTGGCGAAAGTAATTATCAGGTTACCCCGGTGAACGAGAGGGCCGTTTCCCTGCGCCGTCAGGCTGGGGATAGGTCTCACTGTCGTTTGTGCCTATGGGCTGAACGGCAGTGCAGAGTACCCGGCCTTCTTGAAGTCCCTGGGAAGGGTGCTGGAAAATGCCCCGACTGGGGACTCCGTTGTTCTACTGGGGGACTTCAATGCTCACATGGGCGATGATAGTAATACCTGGGGGGGCATGATTGGGAGCTTAAGGTATGCTGAAGTAGAATTATATAGAATTATATAATAGTCCTGCCATTGACACCCTGCTTGTTAAATGTTTTACGTATTGTAGACTCATGAATATAAATGATAGCCGGGTCCAATGATGCCTTCACATCTTTGGCTGTCACTCGAGGTCGTTTCTTTACCTCAGTGATGAGTCTTCGTTGTGCTCTTGGGGTCATTTTGTTTGGGCGCCCACTTCTTGGTAGAGTAGCCACAGTCCCAAAGTGTCTCCATTTGTAGATTGTTTGCCTAACTGTAGACTGGTGAATTTCTAATCTTTGAAATCACTTTAACCCTTTACAGCTTTATGTAAATCAACAATTCTTGATCGTAGATCCTCTGAAAGCTCTTTTTTTGCAAGGCATGGCTCACATAAGCATATTCTTCTTGTGTGGAGCTGACTCAAAAGGTTTGAGTGGTTTTTATCAGTCCAAGTAGCTCTAGTCGACACTTCCAAACTCATTTTCTTAACTAGAGAAATGCATTTCCTGTCGTAAATGCGTGTGGATGCTAATAAGCTGAAAGATCGTCCTGAAAATGCCTGAAGTCAATTGCTGAAACAGCTGAAAGATAAGAAGAAATGGCTGAAGTTCTTTGTTGAATAATCTGAAGGATGAGATGCCATAAAGTAGGAATGGCCTTGAAGAGCTGAACATTTTGATACTTGAATGGCTTTTTTAGCTGAAGGTATGCAGGTGTGAACATGTGTGTGAGACGGGGGGAGGGAGAAAGAGGAGTTATGTAGGGGCATGTCCCAATTGTGCTGCATTTTATGGAACCCAAGGAGCAAATAAAGTACGAATGACCCAAGCTGAAGTCACCGAGGTAGTTAAGAAGCTTCTTGGTGGCAAGGCACCGGGGGTGGATTAGATCCGCCCTGAGTACCTCAAGTCTCTGGATGTTGTAGGGCTGTCTTGGCTGACACGCCTTTGCAACATCGCATGGTGGTTGGGGACAGTGCCTTTGGACTGGCAGACCGGGGTGGTGGTCCCTCTTTTCAAGAAGGGGGACCGGAGGGTGTGTTCCAACTATAGGGGATCACACTCCTCAGCCTCCCTGGGAAAGTCTATGCCAGGGTACTGGAGAGGAGAATTTGACTGATAGTCGAACCTCAGATTCAGGAGGAACAATGCAGTTTTCGTCCTGGCCGCGGAACACTGGACCAGCTCTATACCCTCTTCAAGGTGGTGGAGGATTTATGGGAGTTTGCCCAACCAATCCACATGTGTTTCGTGGATCTGGAGAAGGCATTCGGCCATGTCCCTTGCGGCGCCTTGTGGGGGGTACTCCGGGAGCACGGGGTCTGGGGCCCTTTGCTAAGGGCTGTCCGGTTCCTGTACGACCGGAACAGGAGCTTGGTTCGCATTGCCGACGGTAAGTCAGACTTTTTCCCGGTGCATGTTGGACTCCGGCAGGGCTGCCCTTTGTCACCGGTTCTGTTCATTATTTTTATGGACAGAATTTCTAGGTGCAGCCAGGGGCCAGAGGGAGTCCAGTTTGGGGACCACAGGATCTCGTCTCTGCTTTTTGCAGATGACGCTGTCCTGTTGGCTCCATCAAGCCAGGACCTCCAGCGTGCACTGGGGCGGTTTTCAGCTGAGTGTGAAGCAGCTGGGATGAGAATCAGCACCTCCAAGTCCGAGCCCATAGTTCACAGTTGGAAAAGGGTGGCTTGTTCCCTTCAAGTTGGTGGAGAGTTCCTGTCTCAAGTGGAGGAGTTCAAGTATCTTGGGGTCTTGTTCATGAGTGAGGGAAGGATGAAATGGGAGATTGACAGGTGGATCGGTGCAGCTTCTGCAGTAATGCAGTCGATGTACCAGTCCGTTGTGGTGAAGAAGGAGCTGAGCTGTAAGGTGAAGCTCTCGATTTACTGGTTGATCTACGTTCGACTCTCACCTATGGTCATGAACTTTGGGTCATGACCGAAAGGGCAAGATCCCGGATACAGGCGGCCCAAAAAGCCTTT